TCCTTTTATCCAAAATGCAATGACTCAGATGACCCCTTCAACTATATGGACTATCGTATGTTTCAAGATGACGATAGTTACTGAGCTGGATATGTAAAGTATTTGTAGTCAAATGCTTTACTCCTGAACTGTAACATAATTTACATGAAATATTTGGCTCACATGAAATCCTAACTCCAATTTCCCCCCATCATCCATCACCTTTTGGATTATCTTTCCAAGCAACCTCAATCCTCTTTATATTTCTCAGAATATTAAATATTAAAACTATATAGCATGGTTATGTCCCATTTTTCATACAAGTTGAGCTTCTCACATAGGAAGAGGAAGTTATGGAAGAGGTAGAGAATTAGATTTAACTGGAGATAGAATTCTGCCAGAGGAATAACATAAAAGGAAAGGTCAAAGGATTGAGAATCTATGTTTGGGAATGATAATTATGGTAGACTATGTAATCCAGGTTGTTAATGAGGAAAATGAGAATATGAGGGGAGGCGAGAGTAGTGAAAAGATGGTAGAACCAATAAGGGCCATTATTTCCTAAAGGTTTAAAATTATATTTGAAGAGTGATCTCTAAAGCTGTGAATTCAAATTGCTAGATTGCTAGATCTTCTAAATTAACTTTTTTTCATAAGGTATACATCCTATTCAACTCCTATACTCCTCAACCAAACTTTACTGTGGTAAGACCTTTGGGATACAAATAAGCAGTGTTCTATGGTCCCTGTGATATGGAAAGCATGCTTATAATTCATTCATCCATCCATTCACTCATCCATTCATCTGGTGTACATGAATTAATTGTAAAGATATTGGGTCATTGGAAAAGTAATGACACATTTTTGCATAAAAAATATGTTAAGACTTTTCCAGTGACCTAATAATATCAAGATATAGTATAGAACTGAATGAGTCATCCTTTTGTCTCAAAGGGAGAGCTATAGAGTTGGGAGAGGCAGGGGGAAATATTTAATTTTAGATTAACAAATGCTGAAATGCACATATGCAAAAGATGGTATGGAGGAACAGAAGAAAACATTTTATTTGAGAAGGCAGCATATTGGCAAACCCCAGGCATTTCCTATGGGTCTTATGCTCGATTCTCTTTGTGTCTCCAGATTAACTTTTATCTGAACTTCTCCTAACCAAAATTGATCTATGTATCCTCATTTCTGAATGCTCAATCTACTAATAGAACATATCAATCAGACTGTAACACAGCACCATTTGCCAGTGACCGAACTGGCCATCTAGGGGAAGGTTGACCTATCCTCTTGAAGGTTTGGTTATGGTGCAGCTGAGAGGTAGCAGTAGGTCAGGCTCTTGTACTACAGAATGATGATTATGTGTTGAAAAAATATATAAGCCAGACTCTATGGTCTATATTCTATATCTACATCAATAATCCATGGTATTATAGACCAAATGGGCCTAACAGATATTTATAAAACAATTTATTGAATAGCGGCAGAATATATATCAGCATCTGGAACATTCTCCAAGATAGGCCATATGTTAGGATACAAAGAAAATCTGAACAAAACAAGTTTTTAAAATCAAAATGATATAGTGTCTTTTTCAGCTGCAATAGAATCTCATTATAAATCAATAGCAAAAGAAACTTTGGAAAGTGTACAACTACATGAAAATTAAACAACATGATCCTGAATTTCCAATATATTAATGAAGGAATTAAGGGAAAAAAATGTTAAATTCTTGAAACAAATGAAAATAGAAACTCAACCTTCTAAAACGTATGGGTTATGACAAAGAAGTAGTACTAAGAGGTAAGCTTTTGGCAATAAATATCTATATAAAGAATAGAAAGATTTTTAAATAAATGACCCAATGATGCATCAAGAAACTACAAAATTAAGAAAAAAACCTAACCCAAAATTAATAAAAAGAAATAAATAATAAAGATCAAAACTGAAATAAATGAAATTTAATCCCTATCCCTTTGTTAATTTTTTTGAGTCTACTTTAATATAAGAAACTATCCTTAAAGAAAAGTCCAAGCTCAAATGGTCCATTACTAAATTTTATCAAACCTTTATAGAAGATTTAATGCAAGTTCTTCACATACAATTCCCAGAAATCAGAGAAAAGTGACACTTTCCAACATATTTATGAGACCACTACCATATCAATACCAAAACCATGCAAAAATATCATAATAAACTATAGGCCTGTATATCCTGCGAATATGGATACAAAAACTATTGATAATTTCTATTAAGAAAATGATTATTTATACAACTAAATGGGATTTATCCCAAAAAAGCTAAGTTGATATTACATTAAAAATCATTTTTTACATCATATAAATAGAGTCTATATAATAGAAAACAAAAAAATGATCATCTCAATACTGGCAGAAAAAGCATTTGACAAAATGCAGTATCTACTCATGATAGAAACATTCAAAAATTATTAATAGAAAGAAGTTTTGTGAATCTGATAAAAGGCATCTGTGAAATAGCTAACGTTATATATAATGGCCAAAGACTAGCTGTTTCTTCAAAATGTCAGGAATGAAACATGAAGTTCCACTTTTGCTACTTCTGTCAACATTGTACTTAAAGGAGTCACAGCAATTAGCAAAAACAATGGCCAAAAGGCATCCAGATTAGGAAAAAAAGAGAATTAAAACCACCTTTATTTTTAGACATAGTTTCATGTATAAAAACCATATACATATAGAAAAATATAGAAATCCAATAAAAATTGTAGGGACTAATAAATGAGTCCAGTAAGTTTATAAGAAATAAGATAAATATAACAAATCTGTGGTATGTTTTTGCACTAGCTATGAGCATTCTGAAGATGGGATTAAGAAAACTCTTTTTACAGAAGCATTTTAAAAAGTAAAATATTTTGGGGGAAATTTAGCAAAAAAGCATAAAACTTATTCTATACATTTTAAAAAAATAATCATGTTATTT